CTTCCGGCCCTCTCTGGATCAGCTGATCCGTGGGCCGAGGTTAAGGGGCGCCCCGCACCTCAAAAATAATGAGGCCAAGCACTTATTTTTAGGGGGGGGGGTCAAAAGAAAAATAAGACCCTGTCTTATTTTCGGGGAAACACGGTAGGATGAGTCCTGCATTGGAGTTTCCCTCTATGCTTCACTTCTGACGTGGACAATAAGGAGAACCAGTTTTTGGGGAGTGGGGCAAGGGGGAATTACTGACAGAAATTCAGAAGGCAAAGTCTTTCTCCTACCTCCGGTCGTTCCTCCTCCTCCTGAATAGCTTTTTGGTGTGTGCAATTTCTGCTTCGTGTGGCAACGGATGACAACCCTAGCATAAAACAGGGGGGGGGGGGGGGGGGGAGAGAGAGAAAGGAGATGGTTATAAGCTCAATTAGAAGATCCAGAAAATACTCATGATTATGGTCAGGAGCAGAAGGCCTTCAGAACCTCTTGACATGTTGGTTCAGACAAACCGCTCACTTTAATTATTCACAAGAGTTGCCAGAAAGAAGTAAGCTTATGATGATTAAGGGTAGAATTGCATGCTATTCATACAATCGAGCTTCACAGGGGTGGGCTTCAAAAATTTCAGCAACGGGTTCTCTGCCCAGTTGCTGGATGGGCGTGGCCTAGTTGGCCTCCTGCACCACCGCAGCGGCGGTGGGGGAGGCTTTTCACCTTCCCCAGGCTCTGGAGGCTTTCCTCGAGCCTCTAGGAGGGTGGAAAATTTCCTCCCCCTGGCTCCCGAGGTGTTCCAGGAGGCCCATTTTCCCCCTCCCCGAGCCTCCACATGGGCCCTGCACTTACCTCGCATCCAAAATGGGCCGCATGTAGACTTCTGGGAGGGGCGAGGCGGGAGGGGCCAGCCAGGGGTGGGATTTGGAGGTTTTCCGAACCGGCCGTAACGTTAGCTACGGGTTCTCCTGAACCCGGGCAAACCCATAGCAGCCCACCCCTGAAGCTGCACCATTGCAATGCAGTGTGGAAAAAAATCTATTGCTTCAAAGCTTTAAGACCATTGCACATCATGCATCCATGACCACTGTAAAGTATTCTGGGAATTGAAGTGCATAGGAACCGAGATTGTGGATGCGTGGACTAGAGTAGACTTCTCAAATTCTGGTATCCATCCAAAATTATTGTAGTAGGGAAAATGCTTTCCATCTGTGTACAGTATCGCCAGGTGTCAACTTTCCCAGGTAGACCAGACAGAGAAAACAACCAAATGAACTACTGCAATTCTACTTTATTGCAAGGCTAATTAACAGAATCTTGCAAATCTGAAAGTAAAGATCACTTTTTACACCCTGATAAATGCAGAAGCATCTGGACGGTCACTTTGAGAACAAAATGTAGGACCACAACTGGTCCCCCCCCCCCCCTGTCAACTGCCTTTTTATCAGCATAATACACTTCTGATTTGCCTTGGAGCAGGGGTCAGCAAACTGCGGCTCTGGAGCCGCATGTGGCTCTTTGCTCCCTCTGCTGTGGCTCCGTCACCGGTCAGCGCCACAATTTGGAGAGGAGTTTCCGGTGGGTGGAGGGGGAGAGAAGTACAGTGTGCCAGGAGAAGACTCTATGGCAAGGGGAGGGTTTTCCTGTTGTCTCCACAATTGATAGGGCTTT